GTAAAAATTGCCTATTTCGAAGCCTAATGTCTTTGGGACATCGCATGATTCAGGATGCGCCAATCGCCCTTTTCTCGCTCCGAATTAGCGATGCACAGTTAATTTACACTGCTCAGTGCTTGGGTGTGCTGCCGGGCTTCTCGGGCGCCCTCTTCCTGTCGTGTTGTTGACGTCTGATCTGTTTGCAGAGCAGTTCAAGCAGAGGTCGTAAAAAAAGGCATAAAGCAGGCCTGGCTCCAAACACCTAAATTTATACGCTTTCCTGAAGATGCCCTTCCGCTCGTTCCACCATTATCATTTTCCCCCTTCCGTTTTCCAGTCGTCGTTCGGATAGCATTAACGTATGTGCTGGAATTGTTGTTACCAATCAACTGAGCAGTGACATCTTTAGCTGATTATGAGTTAGAAAAATTTTGGTAAAAGTGGCTAGCTTTCGAGACATATTTCTTCGATATCTCAGAAAAGTAGCCACTAGTTTTCGATATAAATGGACTTGGCAATGTGCCGAAACAGAGGATTGGTCTTGTAAGCATTAACCTGCTCCTGGATTTTTTTTTTTTTTTTTTGTTACAGTTTTTTGCTTGTGGAAGGATCCAAGGGGAGAATTCAAGGGAAAAGGAGAAGAATGAAGAAGATGATTAATTCGAGCACGTGCCCATCTGGGTATTCTTTATGGTACGCATTTAAAATTAAGTGGGTTTTGCTGGGGGTCTAAACAAGTCAGTAATGCGAACTCATTTTCTCTTCGGAAAATGCTTTAATGGTTCAGAAACAAAAAACGGAACTCATTTTTTTCAAATAATGTTTTAATTTTGTATACGTCGGATAGGGTTATTCGTAAAGGGCGTACTCATCAAAAAACGCTAAGCGCAGTTGGAAATTTAAGAATATGCTTTAAGCCATGGCTTGCCTCTAGCGCCTGAAAATTTCTAATCCGAAATTACAATGCTCATTTATAAATTATTTCAACGTTAAATCAAAAAATATAATTTAATGTGGAGGAATGCAAAAGTAGAGAAAGTACATCTCTTGGACATGATTAGGTTCAAAGAGACGAAGGAAGGATTTGGGAAAAAGGTAGGTATTTTTCCCAGGATCAATTAACTACCTAGAATTGTTCATCTGGGTAAATTTATTCGGACGCTTACAGTAGAACGTATCAGTGAAATTTTAATATGACCTCAAAAATTCACACGCATTTTTGTTCAATTTTGCTTATTTGTCTTTAGAAGCCGAGCACTTTATTGTGTGAGTGAGACAGTAAGTTGTCAATCAATCATTTTTATCGTCTTAATTTAGCTGAGAGTGATATACTGCTTCGAAAATTCGCTGTGGTAGGGCTGCTGCATTCTCATCGAATCACCCTGAATTTGAGGAAATGATTGGAGCGAGTCTAATGATTAGATGACGCTGCACTCGGATTTCCTGGCATTTGATTTTTGATGTGTTGAAAAAGTTGAGCTGTTGAAAAAATTGTCCGTTACGCTAGAGAATGTGAGTGATTTTTCCTCAGCCCTACTTACATTCTGGAAATGAAGGCATTTTGTTTGGTGCATACTGGACGGATTAAATTTTTTCCTGATAGATGGGAAATTTTTGTTAACAAATATGCTCTTAAGCAATCAAAATGCATTTTGTTTGCTCAGCTTTTTTTTGAGG